GGGAGACGAGGTTCCACGGCATGTCGTCGCCGTCGACAAACTACGGCATATCGGCAAGATATTGGGCGAGCTGATCAAGGAAGAAGGCCGCGCGGAGCTGGATAAAGCGGAGAGTGGGCTGCGGAGGTGGTGGGATGCTGTCGAGCCTGTCGAGTCTGACGAGTGGATCTCAGACTCGGAATCGCTCTACAACGCGGGGGAGTCGCGAGGCGGCGAGGCGTTCCCGATGCCTGGAGCGTTCCCGGAACCGCGTACGAGGTATGAGTCGCCCACGCCCACGCCCACGCCCGCTCTCGAGGACTTGTTTGGCGAAGAACTACCTACGGTCATTGGTGCGTTCCCGGAAGAGTGAGGCTGCGGCTCTGCAGACGGAGAGAGCGGCGTGGAACAATCGGCGTGCCACTGCAGGGTAAGACACGTAGATGCAGGCGAGAAATCGTTGTAGGCAATGCATTTGGCATGTAAGTCGATTCCCGACTTGTCCCTGGTGCGTGTCCTACTCGCGGCGGAGATGGGGGAGCGAAGTAGGTCTTTCTTTTCATATTTGCTTGTTTCTGCTTCAGTATATTATTCTGGGTGCGAAGTCGGGTTTTTCCAGTCTTCGGTTTGATATGGAGGTGATATATAACAGTAGGTGTAATTCAACTCTCAACTCTCACCCCTCAAATCTGTTCTCTTGCTTCTTCGAGTTTCTCAAGTCCTTGATGCACGTGTGACCAACTTACAAACTGCAATCTCAACTTCAACTTTGGTTAGTTTCTCACCTCTCTCGCCTGAAATCTCTCCTTCTATCTTTAGTTCTCCTTCTTTTTACCTCATAGAACCTCTCCACATCCATAAATTATACTTGAGCATCCCGCAACGTACAATTATGTCAGGCAAGAGGAGGGATTGCGAGTTGACATGATTTACGGCTTTGGTTCTTCAGTCAAACGGATGGTATGTTCCAGATATTATTATCATTACATCGTCGACATCTACATGCTATAAGATGGCCAATACCGCCTTGCCTCCCCTCCTCTCCTACACAGAGAATCCACCCGAATTCTTCTGTCTCGGCTCCCCGGCGGCCTCGAAGGTGCCATTCGCCAGCCGTCGAAGCCCCTGTGCCGTACTCTGTCCCGGCGCAACCCACGTCACATTATGCCCCAACTCCTTCATAAACGCCGTCGTAGCGTTATCAAAGGCGTACTCGAAGCTCACCTGCGCAGGAACTAGCTGGTCGTGAATCCGCGGCTGGGCGAGCGCGGACGCCGTGTCCATGCCCCCGTCTAGAATGTGCAAGAGGTTCTGGATGGTTGCGGTGATGATTCGGGACCCGCCTGCTGCGCCGATGGCGACGTAGAGAGCGTTGGCGAGGGTACTGTTGAGGTGCTCGACAATGACGGGGGAGATGGAGGAGAGAGGGCGTTTGCCCGGGCGAATGAAGTTTGCGGGACTAGGAATGTAGCCGAATGCGTTGGTTGTGTTTGGGATGGAAAAGTCCTTGACTAATGTTAGTAATGGCATTGACGGAGAGGAATGGGAAAGGAAAGGAGATACGTACGTTCATCTCGTTATTCATGATAACGCCCGTCTCAGGCACCACCAACTTACTCCCAAACAGCAAATTCACCGTCGTCGTCAGCGTAATCGAAAGACCCGTGTGATCAGCCGTGACTATATGACTTGTCCCCGGCGTCTCGAGGCTCTCAAGACCCTTGGGATCGTAGTAGCTCACCCCAAATGTCTTTGTGTCGCTGATCTTGGATCGGATCTCTTTCGCGACTTCCTCGCTAATCATCTGCTCCTGGTACTCGTCAATCCCCTCGAGGAACAGCGGATCCCCCAGATTACTCCGCTCGCCGTACGCAAAACGCATTGCCTCATCCAGCCGATGCGTTGTCAAGTTCACAGCCGCAGGGTCCCCGATCCCAGAATATCCCTCTAGAATCTTGAGGACCGCGAGCGCGACTTCGCCCCCACTGGGGGCGCTGCAGCTCGTCAATTTATAGTCCCGATAAGTAATCGTCGACGGCCTCCGAATCGCCACGGTGTAGTTCTTCAAATCGTCTAACGTCATAGTCCCATTCTGCGCCTGTAACGCCCGAATCGTTGCCTCAGCAATCGGACCCTCATAAAACGCATCCGGGCCCTCTGTAGCAATCGTCTCGAGCGTATCCGCATATCTCTTCCTCGAAATTGTCTCGTTCAGCGCCACTAGGCGTCCCTTGGGCGCAAAATCAAACGCAAACTGCGGATCATTGAGAAGAAAGTTCGATGTAGCAGTCGCGGATTTCATGTAGTTGACAAGATCTTGGTTGACTTTCCAGCCGTGGCGGGCGACTTTTATTGCGGGAGCAAGGACCGCGGACCAGGGGAGGGAACCGTATTTCTCGTGGAGATGTTGGAGGCCCCGGACTTCGCCGGGGATGCCGGAGGCGAGACCGCCGGTTATGCTGGCTTCTTCGTTGTTTTTGTACATGTCTTCAAAGGCAGCGGCTGGGGCAGTTTCGCGGAAATCGATGAATTCGTAGGAGCCGTTGCTGGAGCGGACGAGCATGAAACCGCCGCCACCGAGACCTAGATGGGGTGAGTAGATGTTGCTTGAAGAGGTGATTTGGCACTGAAAGTAGGTGGGTGAAAGGTTTGAGGATTAGGGATACAATAACAGTGATGGATTTGTCGAAATCGACAAAACAAACATGATTCAGGGCATTCAGAAATGATAAGAGAAGTTGTCGATATGGAGATTACAGCGCAACCTTCCAGACATACCAGAATGATACATCCCCACGACACCAACGCAGAACACAGTCCCTACCAACGCATCTGCTGCATTCCCTCCTTTCTTAAGCAGCTCAATTCCAATGTGACTACATATGTCACTCTCCGACGCCACGGCACCTAAATGATTCGCCTTCAATGCTGGGGGAGATGGCGCTCCATATGGGTGAGGCGGGCTCGCGATTGGATTCCCAAGTGCAGCCTGCAGTGTCAAAGCACCGGTGACGTAACGATAGAAATTAGGAACCATGGCCGCGGGGGAAGGCAGGGAGCTCGTAACAAAAGAAGAGAGAAGAGAAAGAAGGGAGCTCATGAGCTCATGAGGTTATAGCCCTCCTCCAACCCTGGCCACGAATTTTATTGCGGCCCGAAATGTTGGATTGGAACTGGGGATGGGCGAGGCTCTGTCGCCGATCGGCCCGTGGGTGTACGGTTCTGGCAGCTGCGTACAAAGGTTCCGTGTGCTTTGACCGGTTGGGGTTGGAATGAATAATCCAGGAACAGAGCACGACGTTTCTGGGGAATATTGCATCATTGCGGCTGTTTACAGGCTTATGTAGACGCGTACGACGAATGTGCTGCAGGTGTTGAGGCTACCGATCAGAGATAAGATAACACAAGGCGGTCGTGTGGTGCTACTCGCAGCACGGCAATCCATGTGCGGTGCGGTCTCCCAATAAATCAGATATCCATGTATTTATGCGGCATCGTGGTTTTTGGACCCGGAGATGATGGCTTTGGATTGACATCTGCTCGTGTCGTCGTATACTGAAGGCATGAGTTTTGACATGGTTGCTGGGCGGAATGGAGGGATATTTACCCACCTGCCTAAGCAGGACTCGGGTCGTGTGCGCTGTGCTCAACCAATGAGCACGGGACCAACAACCTCGACCTTTTGGGACGAGCTTCCTTCCTAGCTGCTTCTGTATCCATTATACATTAGCACAATTAATAATCTAGACCAAGTCAAATTATGGAACTCTCTGAGCCTTTGTTAGAGCTAATACACGACGCCTCAGAAAATGCTTTTCAAAACTGAAGATCTTTCAAGCTCGTCCTCCGCTGGTCGAGACCACAACAGATGCACTCGAACACCATCGCCGTAACGACTCTCTGCCTCATGCCTTCGAGCAATTTCTTTGCAGTCTAATGCTAAATTAATCCCATCCGGATTCGAAGTGTTCACTTGATTAGGTTTCCCATTAACGGAGTATGGTGCAGCGACACTGGTGCTCACGAAGCTGGGCTAAGTTGTCTGGTAAACAAACTTTGCGTGAAAGCATATCTTGAAGAAGAAGTCCTAGATTTCTTTAAGCAATCTCATAGACAATTGAGATGATAGTGAGTTATCAGCACAACCATTCCTCGCCTCTGCTCAGGTGCAATGAAACTCGAGGATGGTCGTTGACTTTATACAGCCATATCTATAGTCCCTGATTCCAAGAGACCTTGGGATAGCAAAACGTTTGACGGCGTTCGTGTCTCATCACCAAAAGAATGTAGAGAAGGCGATGATGAATTTCTAGCAACTGCATCCTCAGAATCCTCTAGCTCTTTAGCTATTGGCCTGATGGTTAATAGTCAAGTTGATCAATAAAAATAGATATTCGAGAGCTCGTTTCTTTATTCGAGAAGGTTTAGATAACCCTAACTCAACCAGCATTTGTAGCAACAGATGATGTTGCTGTGAAGTGGACGTTGGAATGAACACCCACCTTACGTCGGGTTCGCACCTGCTTTCCGCTAGCAAATACCTTTTTAGAAACGAAGAACATCGTGATATGAATGCATTGTATATAAGTGCGATTAATGATGAAGATAAGGCTCATGACTCCTCATACGACTCCTAAATTTTGGATTACGTACACATGAGTCCCAGGGCTATAGCAAGTGAGAAGCTACAATGTGATTCTCACGAGCATCGGGCCTGTGTGGATATGATATAGAGTCAAGTGAGAGAACAGAACACTAGCTTCACATTTTGAAGGTAGTTTGGCTTCTCCGCGTTACTACGACGCACTTGGCTGTAATATACTGGTGTGCTGCAATTTTCTAACAAATGATTGCCTTTGTACTTCACCCGTAATTTATGCCTAGTGCGACTCACTTGTTATTGCGATATACCGAAAATAAAAATAGCTCTATAGTTGCCTACGCTCTCTATCACTCTCCCTCTTCTGTGCACCTGTACAAATATCAATTAATCTATAGACACATAATTGAAAAAAAGCAGATCCCTCGTTGTCTAATGGGTAGGGTACTCCGTTCTTATGAGCATGCAATGGAGAGGTCCGGGTTCGACTCCCGGCGAAGGAAGCTTTTTTTTCTTTCTATCATTCTTGGTCAATAGTTCTGCTTTAAGGGGCGGGAAGTAGACAAACATTCAATATTGAAACATAAGCGGCATGTGATTTGCATTTTTATATTAATTATCTGTCTAGTAACTGACCACCACTGTCTAAACATGTGCGAAAGCCAAACGCTACCGCCATCTTGAAATATCGTGATTGAATCTAGACAGTGTACCAACTAGACACTCGACCTATATAGCTCTACTCTATAAATCAACCTCTTCACAAAACATCGTGTTTCCATAGTGCGCCTGTATGGCTGGACATCCGTCCGTTGACTCCATACTTCAGTTCAAACCTATCCCCTTCATCTACTCATAGACCCTGGCCACTCTTCACAACCCGTACGCATGAGCCGGAGCTTCATAAACTGGCTGCCCGTACTGATTCCTCTCAGGCACTCTATAACTCTCATCAATCTCCACCGCATTATGCAACGGAGGGGGTGCTCCGTATGTATAAGCCGGGGGCTGGTACGGTGGTGCCGGCGAATGTAGCGGTGCAGGCACTTCTACCGGTCTTGGTGTCTTGTCTGGAAGTTTCTGGAATCCGTCGCTTGACAGAGGGAAGGCGTTTGAACCCGCGGCGAGCTTTTTACGGTAGCGGCGCCGCACGAAGAACCAAACTAGACCGGTCGCGGCGAGGAGGATTACAATGCCGCCAGCGGCACCGGCTATAATGGGTGTTTTGCTGGGGCTGGGGGTGTCTGTGGGCGAGGAGGTAGATGTTGCTGCTGCAGCTGTGTTCGAAGCTTTGGAGGCCGAACCCGAGCCTGTCGCTGTCGCTTTGGATTTGGACTCAGTGTTTGTGGGATTCACAGACGTGTTTGCATCTGTACCGATGTCGGTAGGCGTAGCTATAGGGAGTGTGTTCGATGCCGTGCTGGCGAGATCCTTAATCACGGATGCGGCTCCGACGTTGAAGACCTTCGAGTCGTCATTGCAACATGTGCTTCCGTCTGAGCTGCAGCAGTATCTGTCGTCTCCACACGGAACGAGGCGATTGTAGCTTCCGGACGCGTCTGCATCGGTACGTCAATACAAGCGGCAAGTCCATCAGATGGTCTTCTGAGGGGAAGTACCTCCGCTGTTGCAGTGCTGGAAACACTTCTCGCTCTTCCATGTCTTGTCCGTACAAGCGCCTCGGAATACGTAGTCATAGCTTGTGCTCGGGTAGTGGCATAGGCCTGACAGAACAATGTTAGTGCGTGTTGTGAAAGGTTGGAGTCAAATATACCATTTGACAAACATTGGTCCCCTTCGCTGGGGATACAGCACGACGTGAATTCGTCCCCTGAACAAGCTTGGTATACGTAGTCTGTCGGGAAAGAACCATCAGGATAGTAGCTTCTAAATCAGTAACTACCCTCAGAAATTGTTTGCTGTGGTGCTCACCATGATGCATTCACGCTCCAAAAAAGGAAATTGCTTATGAACGCGCAAGAGAGTGACGAAAGTTGGAAGCGCATCGCAATGATGTACTAAAACGAGTGACTGGATCAAAAGTCCGATTAAAAGAGTGAAGAAGACGTAGGAGGGAAAAAGAAGAAATACAGGAGAGCAAATGTACCCCTCGCGCCCGCATAGCGTTCAGCTGATTGACGCCTCAACGCCAAACTCGCTTCCTCACGCAGACGGGTACGAAATCGCGTCCACCTAGTAAAATTTGGCGGCGCATTTCGACCCAAATTTAAAAGCCACATACTTAAAATACGAACCCACGTGGGACTTCTCTCCCGAAAACAAAATATTGGGCGAATAAGATGTCGTAACAATGGAAAGAGGGCTAAGGACCAACAACAGTCTTTGAATACACGGCAGGGTAAACAAAAATTATCATCGTAAAGCGAGATACGATTAGACTGCGGCTGGTAATGCACATTTACATGCCCGCCGTTAGCACACGAATACGAATGGTCAGATCGGGACGTCAAATGCCCGATTCACAGGGATTGAAAGAAAGATTAGAGAATCATCTGCTTGGGTAGATAATGGTCTATAGTGATAGATGGGAGATGTGTACATATTTGCCCAGAATGAGCCAATGAATATGCCTGGCCCAATCCATGACCGCAAAAGATCTACTACCGGTTCGAGTGTACATGTCCTTTACTGCAAACTAAGAAAGAATAGTCCCTCCTACTTGAGATTGAGAGAAGCTCGGACGTACTTTAAGACTCCTTCAAGCAGGTACAGTGGGATGTGATGTGAAGCCGCATGAATCCTCCTGGCCACTGGCTGGAATCATATTGTCTTTCCAGTGTCGCGAACATTCACCACGAACCACTTATATCCATATCATCATCCTGCCATATCCGAGCTGGACCTTTAGTCAAGCTCGCGAGTCTCCTCTACCTTACCAGAGTCTTCGAAATCGACGCTGTCACGGGCTCTACGCTTCTTCTCCGCGAGGAGATGGAGACGCAGCTTAGAAGTCCTCAGCTCGGCCTCAGCAACCTCGATTTGGAGTTGCAGTTCCTGAATGGAGAGCTCCTCGTAGTTCTCATTGTCGTTGCTGTGTTGAAAGTAAGAGTTGGACTGGCCACGGCGCGAGTATGCACTAGGGGAAGCCGTGATGGACGGCGTGAGGAAAGCGGGTACTGACAGGCCGATGGAGTCTTCGCGCTCCGAGTTGATGACGGATACACCCCTGCCGGTTGAAGTTTGACGATGTTCCGGGTAATACTCCTGACGACGACGCTTGTGGCGATCTGGGCGCTCCCAGCCTACGCTTGGGTCTCGTCGAAGTCGCTGAGATGAGCCGTCTACAGAGCTGTTAGCTGCGAACATAGTACCATCTTGTCATATCACTTACGCTTACGCTTCTTAGGCTGCTTCTGAGGACGAGCCTCGTAGACCTCATGGTTCCGAGGACGACGGCCGCTCTTCTTGTCGACAGGCGGTTCAACCAGTTCCTCGTAGTAGGAATCTGTGGACTCAGACTCGTAGGACGATGTTATTCCACGGGTGTCGATCTCCTCGCGAGCTGGGCGCTGTGGGGCTTCATAGTCTTCCCGAATCTCCTTGATATCTGCCAGTCTAGTCCATGGATGTTCATCTTCATGCTTGTTGACCTTTGTCCGCAGCTTCTCGTGGAATTCGGTGAGGTTCCCATTGTTGAGGCGCGAAATCGTGACGAGATCCTTGAGAAATTGGACACCCCAGTTGCGCGGATCGTCCTCAGTCTCGCCGATGATGTGTTTGCGTCGGTCGCAATCCCATGCGCGCATGCGAATGTCCTCAGGAATCACGTCGACGACATTGACAACTCCGAAGCTGGCCGCGATGCCGGGAAGCAAGCAGTTCACGATGTCTTTCGTGTCTGCATTCAGCGTCGCATATCGACCCATGCTTGCGAGTGCTTGAAGAAGTGCTCTCGTTCGAAGAAAGGCCGCGTAGTCTGGGGTAAACTGGGGCCTATATTCAGTTAGCTCGCCGGCGCGAAGAGAAAGACACTTACTAACAGTAATCTCAGGTGAGAATTTGCGACTTGTTCGCGGCAGCCCTGTGGGCGGTTGAGTTGAGGAGCAGTGGAAATTTTGCGTGGAGCAGGCCAGTTTATATGCGTAGGCGAGTGCGCTAACGCAGCAGCTGGCCACTGAATATGAGGCAAGCGAATGGAAACAGCAGGCGGATGGAGTAAATAAGGAAGCCTTCCTAAGGTGATTTTCACTCTAGAAGGTTTCGATGATGACTGTATGAGTCGAGTGAGAGAAGAGTGGGAAATTAGAAGGAGCTCGTGCGCGAGAGAATGCCGTGCCGTAAGAGTCGGATAGAAGTAGACCTGTTCTTGTGCTTGATAGTTTAGGTTTGAACTGCATTTGAGAAGATGATAGAAAGGCAAGTGGTAAGATTTCTAGCGCAAGCAGACTGCGATGGACGAAGTGGGGATCTATCCTACACCGCGAATTAAGAAACAGAACCATATTTCTGCACTTCATAATTGAATCTTGAATCGTGCTACAGAAAATGAGAGAAGAGAACAGTAGACAAGGAGCGCAAATGACCGTGATCCACGTGATGGTGTTTCATACCGAACCATACCTCGCTCTTCAGATTCTGTAGTCGCGGTGTATGAAGCATTACCCCAAGTGTACACCTGATGAATCAAGCTTGTGCCAGTAAGGTGTAAGTTCTTCTTGTATTCCCACGCCCTCATTGCATAATGTTTGAAGGAGAGAATATCTGCATGACTTTAGTGCTCGCCTTCATTTACAGTTTGCTCATGAATCGTGCGGGCTTCAGTGTGTGGCGAATTGCTACATCCCTGGACTTTGATTCGGTGATGGAATGATACAAATTAATGATCGAGTTGAAGAATTGAACATGAGGATGAATTTTGAAGAAGAGCGAGGGTCGGCACTGCCTTCCTCAACTGAACCCTCCTACAGCCCCATCTCGCTTCCTCCTGCCAACTTCTTGGGCGCCTCGCACCCACAGGCAACCCACCAGCTCCTCTCTACTTTCAACACAAGATAATGGCTCCCAAGCGGGAACGCTCTCCATCCCCAGCACCCTCCCTAGACATATTCCGCTCGTCTACAATCGAAGACAAAAACTCCTCCTTCATCGCGGCTTACTCCCCTTCCCTTTCTGTAAAAGCACTCCAAAGCATCCCAGAGTTTGTGTCCGCATCGCATCGGATCGCAGCATGGAGGAAGCCCTCGCGCCAGCGCTCCCTCATGCCCGAAACTAAGATCCTGTATGATCTGGGGCACGATGATGATGGGGAGAAATGGGCTGGTGGGAGGCTGGAGCACGTGCTGAACGACATAAGTATTGAGGGCGTCGTTGTCGTTGCGAGATGGTACGGCGGGATCAACATTGGGCCGATCAGATTCACGCATATTGAGAACTGCGCAAAAGAAGCGATTTGGAAGTGGAGGACTGCGGATGCCGAGGTTAGAAGAGAGCAGGCGGCCAAGAAACAGAAAGTTGAAGACGAAACAGCGCGAGCGGGGCTGGA